TTTTATACGTCAATCGATGCGCCCTCGCGTTGGCACGAATAACTAACTTCACCATGTTTCTTTATAATCCTTTAACTTTCGTATTCTATCCTACGAGCATTAAACTTGCCATATAAAATATTTAAATTATTTCAACTGTTAAACGAATAATCAACAATTCCTATATCTCACGTTACAACGAAAAAGAAAAGAAACGAGGAAGAAATCGAAATCAACCAGTCAAATCCACATCCGACGTTGTCGAATTCAATCTCGATCTCATCGTGTGACGGATTCCGCTTGTATCTACCGTCAGCGTGAACACGAGAGACGTATGATCCGCTTAGGGAGATGACACCGCATTTTCATGTCTCGCAGGATTCGCGCGCGATTTCTATGCGAGCAACGCGCACGTGCATACTGGCATCCACCCACTACCGGATGCGCTGGACTTTTCCCACTTTCCCGGATGTATCTAGGCCACCGCGAAATTGAATTTGTGCGCCCAAACCCTCGGATAATTTTTTTTTCTTTTTGGCTTATGCGCATGAAAGGATCGCGACGGATAATGAGAATAGGAATCTTGTAGGCGATGTTGTGGAAGATAGGAGCAATTTGTTTGGTTATCCGTGATTAAATTCTTGGGGAGAAATATATTATAAATTTAAATTGGAATTTGGGATTTGGTGACATTGTTATAATTCGATATATGTTGGATATATAGTTTCTATGAAAGGTTTGCGTGAATGAGAAAATTTTGTGGATTTTGTCGAAGTTTGATCGAGGTTTATCGTTAGTTGTTTATTATTATTTAAATTTGTAATTTGATCAAATTTAATGGTAATTGTGATATCGATACAGAGGAACTTCATACTTGGATTGATTAAAATTAATTAAGTTTTGTTTGTATTCGTATATTATAATTAGGATTAATTCATGGAAACGAATAATTAGATATTAACAGTCAATAATTGTATGAATGAGTTATATAATAATTAATATATTTAATTCAACAATAATTGGATAATTAATATTTTATCATCATTATTTTGTAAAGCTTTTTTAATTTACAATTGTTTCTTTTTATGTTATTATAAAGAAATATTTCTTCTTTCTTATTACTTTATATTAACATATATTAAAATTAATCTATAAATAAACAAATAAATAAATGAACAAGAAAAATAAATCTTTAAAAATCTGTATCATGTTTTATGAAATTAAAAAATTTTATAATAAAATAATATAAGCTATTTAAAGTGAAGTGAAAAGTGAAGTGTTGCAAGCTTTTGCCCAAAAATGAACTTCCTTCTTCAATGTCATCATTCATCAAATCCTTTCTTAAGTATTTTACCAAAAATCCCAAATGCACTCTCAACAAATTAGTTTTACCACTAACCTTTCTATCCCTAAAAATAGCAACTAATTCATCTTACTTATAAACCGTATCTTGAAACTCTTTTGCCATTTCAAAAAGCATTGCATTATATAAAAAGAATTATATTATATTATTTTATATTAGCAAAAAGATTTTAAATTTTTTCATCTCCTGTCGAAACACGTTCGAACACCATCAATTTATCGTGTCATTTAACCATCGATAGATACCAATCAATTATCCATGATCACCATGATCAACCACGAACGATCATTCGTAAACAAATGCCACAAGAGGAATACGAAATGTACTCAGAAAGCTTAGAATCTGTTTAGGCTATTCTAGTTCGTTGCACGACCTCGTTTTCATCCCCTTTCATCGGCCACCTTCACGATAAATGGGGTAACAAGGATTTGCAATGGTAACGACGACGTTTCGCGGCTCTTAAAAAGCGCCACTACGTGACTCTCGCCCTCAGAGTCTCTCAAACTTTTTTCATCGAAATTCTATAAAGCCCCACCAAAGATTTCCCCTTTCCCCCCTTTTTAACGATCCTTCGTTACTCGACCTTGTTTCCTTTGTTTCCGCTCCCTGACCGTGTTTAGCTGAGCGTGATTCATCATTATGATGGTAATTGGTTGGATTTCAAGTTTTCGAGTCTTTTAAGCCGTGATTGAGTTCGGTTTGAAATGGAAGAGGGATTGAATAGATTTGTTCGTTCTTCGAACGGATTGTTGAATTTTTCGAATGGAATATGAAAATTTGTATATTGGCGAATTATTCATAATCAGTGGTATCAAAATTTGATTGATATTTTTTTTATTTTGAAACATATGTGTTGAAGTCTTTAATTTTCTTGAGTATAATAGTAATTATTCAATATTCGAAGATTATATATGAGAAACTTGATAAGTTCATTTTTGATGTTTAAATTAATTTTTGTTTCTTATTGTTATTATTATTGTTTTATGATATTTAATTACTAAAAATTAAAAGAAATAATTGATATGTTTTTATAATTATTTTAAATATGCAATGATACATCAGAATTTTTTATCAAAGATCTTTTAGAATTCCTTACTTGATTTAAAACTGAAATTTATACGAATAGAAATCTATAAATTCAGCTTTATCATTGCTTTTCAATTAGAAAATTAGAAACCAACTTATTTATTGTATTAAGACTCTCAGTTATGATCTTCATTTTATACTTTTTCAAACTTTAATGTAACAAATAATTAATTCAAATTCTATAATTTTAAAACATATATAAAATTCTCTCAACTTTTTTAATTCTTACACATTCGATACTAGAATAAAATCGCCAATTTATTAATTTATTTGAAAAATAATCAACATCAAATATTTTCCAATTATCGAACACACCAAATCCAGATATTGCTACCCCACAACGATCATAGCTTACGTTCAAACGATATTCAAATAAAATAATAGCAATATTTGAAACTTCGAAACAGTGAAGCTGATATCGAATATCATTGCAAGTCATACGAAGCGAATTTAATAGCTAACGAGGGTAATAATCGTGCAATCCCCGTGAAAAACGTTTGAGAAACACTGGGACCAGAGAATAGGTCCGACCGCCATGAAACGACAATCATACGTAGAGTCATGAGCACCGTTTGCAGAGGTGCTAAAGGCAAAATGGCGTTTCAACTGCTTTCCCGTCTTTGCCATTCGAACCACGATTCAGGTTCCGTTTAAATTTCCGCACTGGTAACGCGTCATTCGATAAGACCACCCGTTACAATCCACCTTTTCTTCGAGTATACGACTTTTATATTTTCCTATGCAACTGTAAAACTTTCACGAATTGTTTTCGAAGCCGTTTCCCTTGTCCATTTCTTTAAGATATTTTAATGGTTTCCTCTAGATTGATATTCGAAGAAATTTATTTCTATTTTTATTTATTATTATTCGTTATAATTATTTTTAGATTGGGTAATAAAATTATAATTGATTTCCTGTCCCTGTTAATTTTTAACTCTTTGAATTTGAGGCAATATCTGTAACATGGAAAAATGTGAATTAACAAGGAAAAACAAGAGTATTTTTAACCTGAGAAATTGAAATGATTGCAATTTATTTGAACAAATTGTAGAAATGAATTTTCAAAGAAATTAAAAAAAAGAATTACTTATATTATTGATCTAATTAAGTTAAGTTAAATAGTTAATTTAACTTTATTTGTCTTTATTAAATTGTAACATGTATATAAGATATATGCATATAAAATCTGTTATGAGAATAATTTTTTTTATCATATATTGTATTTATGATATATTTTAAAATCTCATGAATTTTGAAAATACATTTTCTACATTCTTTTTAATTAAAAAGTAATATTTTTTATAAATTAAAATTGAACTAATACAATAACTACGACAGATTTTCCAGTTAAAAAAATTGATTTTATAATTTATCACGTATTCACGTCAAAGATATAAATTGGTTTTTGATTAATTCCAACGTTACTCAGATTTTTGCACAAAAATTGAAAAACTAAGTGAAAATAAATATTTTATGCATTAAAAATTGTCAGATTAATTTATTATTGACAATTGACGAAAATATTTTTGATTCATAAATTGAATTACTTTTTAAATAAGTAAATATAACATGAGGAAAACATTGAGAAATTATTAATACATTATATATCACTCCAGAAATTGATGACTTTGTTCTTAAAATTCATTCATTCTTTTGAATTAAAAAGAAATAAAAAGTTGAAAATTTTTAATTTATTGTTCTAATTTAACAGTTAGCTAGCACAATAAAGAAAAAACTAATGTTACGATTTAAAATTGAAAACGTGACAGGAATACAAGTGAAACAACATGAATATATTGACTAGAGTGATCCATCGTATAAAGGAAACCGATTCTGTTTACGTGTGGCGTACACTGATTTAGAAATGTAAATAGATTTAAACGAGATTTGCGACGTGGTAAATATACAGTTTGACTCACCTCTTTTTTCAATTCATCACATTAACTAATATTTGGATAATCAATCTTTTCATATCCAATCAATATTCCATTATGTTTATAAACTTGTGTACTTTGATCTTCATTATCCAAATGTATATATAGATATATATGCTCTAAATTCTATTCACAATTTAATACTTTTAACTATCAAATTAATAATATTTTAAATTTTAAAAAACGAAATCATTGAATCAAATCTCCTTTTTTCTTCTAATATCCAACAATATCCAATACTAAGAATAATTTTTATTAATTTTCCTACTACTTTTCTTAATATTCAAAAAATATTGCAAAAATTAACATTCAAAACTAATTTTATAATCGAACATATTAAAAAAAAAACTTGCAAAAAATAGTTACTAGAATCTCTATTTTAATAAAAGTTATTAAATTTTAATTGATAAATTAATTCAGAAGTAAAAACGATTGTACCAGAGAATAGTCGATAGCCTCAAGCACAAAGAGTTAAAATACACGAGGGATTATATTCGTTCGTTGACACCGTCAAAGGGGCTAATTTCCTCCCTTAACCGTTACCCCTTTCCATTCAAACAGACGTCCAAGCTTATCGAGAATTGTTCGAGGGAATTTCATATTTTTCATAATGGAATAATACAAGAGGGAATACTCACGAGATGAGAGTCCCTCGTGGTGAAGGTGATTGGATCCGAGGATCTCGGCTCCCGACAGTGGAAATCCATTTTGCCCCAGGCGGCAGCACCGGCGGCTCCACTCCTGGCCGCCTCGATCAACTCCATTTTCACCCCCTCCGCGACGAATTCGACCTGGAAAAAAAAAGGGTGGAAAAACATTTTCATTACATCGGCTATCTCGATCGTGGCCGGATGCGGTGTAACCGGATTTTAATATCGCGATGCAAACCCTTCGGGGAACAAAGCGTGAATTTGGAAAACTCCACTGTTCGCCCATTATCGATCACGAGATGAGAGGTGTACGTAAAGTAATGTTTGCAGAGAAGTGATTGATATTAAAATACAGGAGAAAATGATTTTATTATAGATTCTCGTTATTTTTTTTGCCAGTGAAGTGAATTTCTATTGACCGATGAATTTTGGAAATTTTGCTTCAAAGGATTGTCGATCTTGGTGAGAAGTGTATGCGTGTTCAAAGAGGTGATTGATTATTATGATTGATCGATGATCATTCTGAAAATGTTTTACATATTTATATATATCATTGTATTATTATTAATTATATATTATGTATTATTATATTATTATTCTTAGACTGTTTCAATTTACATTTTACGATATTTCATTTAAATTTAATATTTCACAAAAGACATTAAATCAAAAAATACACCATAAAGGATCCACACCATAATATTTGAACATTCCTCCAGCCATCGAATATCGTTGAAAAATCGAATAAAATAAAATTCTAACGAAAAACGATAACCGTGAAAGTAATAAAGATACCATCGAAAATTGACATAACAATAAGTGCACGAACAAAATCCAACCTATATTTTTGTTCCTCTATGAATCGCCCGACAAATGAAACAAGGCTAATTGAAAGATAAATCCAGTTGTGAGATTATTAACGTACGCATTAACATAGTAATTACATATTAGCTACGATTTATATCTTTTATCGATTTTGGATGATCGAGATTTACCATCCACCAGGGAGAGAAACGTTATTTATCAGGATGGTTAAAACCGCAGAGAATAGTTAAAATTCGGTCGTTTTTCACGTGGATTTTTCATCTTTTTCCATCTTTTTCCATCCTTATAAACGTAATGTTTTAAATTAATTAAACGATTGAGCTTATTGGATTTTGGATTTAATTTTTTCATAAAAACATCGATTGAACAGCATTGAGAGGAATAATTATTTTGTAAAATAACAAATGTGTTGGTTATATCGATTTATTAAATGATTTGATAAATGTTTTTTTAAAAAATTAACATTTGCGTGAAATCACTGAGTAAAATCTTAATAAAATTTTGAATTATATAATTTTAATAATGTATAAATATAATAAATTATTGATGTCGACTTTGGAACATGAGAATTTAATAATTAATATTTTTTTTTGTTTTATAGCTATTTAATTATTTAAATTAGGATAAATTAGAATAAATTTTGAAAATAACATATATAGCAATGAATTTAGAAATGGAATTTTTTTTCCTCGTCAAAAGTTCTGTCATTGCAAGAGAAATCATTATTATAATTTGAATGATGCAAATGACGAAGAATATATTCAATGAACCGATCACTATCGTCTATAAGCTTTGATTATAAAATTATTAACGATGTTCCAATAGAGAATAACGAAACAAGTTTTTGAATTTTAGTTTTTGATACGAGAAACAAATTAATTTGAAATTACTTTGGAAATCACAAAATTTATAGATTCACATAAACTTTGCAAATTACCGATTCTTCACACAGAAAAGTAATAAATTATGATAAGGAAACAAATCGTGATTCACGCTTAAGTAATTTTAGATAGCGCAAGTTTTTCATTGATTCGAAAGATTTTCGTGAATATAAGAAAATTTATTTGATCAATTTATGGAAAAAAATTGTATGAAATTACGTTATTCATTTTATTTTCAAATACAATTTCATTATATAAACTTTAAAAAGAAATAAAAGTTCTTGTTCGTAAGGAGAAAATACTTATTCAAATATTTATAGATATACCAAATATAAGTAAAATTAACTCTTCAATGGCGTATTCGAACAATTATATTTATTATTTTAACATTTTATTAAATATATAGTTTAATTCACGAATCGAGTGTATTTAAAATTTCGTTTTTGAAAAAAATTTAAATGATCTCGTTACACAATCTATACAACTCTCATTCAATATTTTCCATTCCATCTTTACATTGTAAAAGTTTATCTCACATTATTTGCACACGAGAAATATCGTCCTCTCGAGACCAGTCTCGAGCTGGACTTGTAAACAGTCCCGTACAAATACCCATCTAATTTTCCGGAAGCGCGAGGCTTCGCCGATTCTTCGACCGTTCCTAGCCAAAGTATCGATCGTTCTCTCGTATTCCTATCATTAAACAAACAATACTATCCACGGGGAGAACGATATGGGTTGGATATTTCCCCTGAGGATCGACTCCACCTGGTCAAAAATCCAGGGACGTACGCGTAAAATGAACCCTCCTCGCCATTGTTCGAAACAGGAAATGTTGGATTTTCTTTGAGCGGTCCTGTATCGAACAGACTCTTTATTTCAGTTTTTCTATAGAAAAAGGAAAAAGATGGAGACGTATGCTGGTCGCCGTATAAATTTCCTTGACAAATGCATGCGCGTTTTAATATTTCACATTTTAGTATTTCTTTTTTTTTCTTTCTTTCTTTCTTTCTTTCTTTCTTTCTTTCTTTTCTTTCTCTCGTGACATTTTTCGTTATCCCTGTTATTTGTGAATTCATGCGGACGGATATTCGAAACGGACACATGTCCATTTTAGAGAGGGATTTGTATAGATTTAGAAAGTAATCGAAATGTTAATTTTTATTGGATTTGGATGAAAATAAAAATTCTGATTCTTGCGTGAAAAATATTTGGAATTTTAATTCTTATAGATATTTATATTTATTTTGAGAATAATCAACATTCTTGAAAATTATCTTTAATTTTTAGAAAAAATTGTTAGCAGACAAGATTCAGAATATATATTGAAAATAAATATATAATAAAATATAAATATATAATAAATAAAAATAGCCTTTAACTTTTTTCTAATAAATTTAATATAGAATTTTTTTTATAAATAATATTCATTAATTCAATAATTATAGTAACGAATTATTATCAGTAATGTATTAATTAATCTATTGAAATAATTAAAAATTTCAAAAAATCGTTTATTTTTCGAATAAGATTATGATCAATTTATTTAAATATAAATATCTATATTTTCATTTTACTTATTATTTCATTCGAATTAATCGAATCATCTGTTCATCTTCTATTCATTATCTTTATTCCAAATAAGAAATATTCAATTTCGCATTTTATTCGTTTCAAAATATTCTATAATCACTTTTTTATTCTATCTGATAATACGATTCTTAAATGAACGCACGTTATTCTACAAGCAAGAAAGCTAAATTCCTTTTACAATTTTAACAAAGACGTTGATAAATAAATTTTCTCACGGTGGTATCGCGAGATCCCAGCACTTCCGGGTCGGACGTATAATTATTCCATTCCCATAATTATTTCCGACGAGACTCACGGTGAGTAATTGGCGTAGGAGGAAGCCTGTGGCGATTTCTATTTGCATAGCACGCCAACGCTTCGTGCAACGTTCGAGGCTACTTAAAGGACAATATCCAGTGAACGATGACGGTAGTTAACCTTTCCGACTTTTTCACTGTTCCGTTTCTTACATCTAGTTTATCGTTTCGTATGCTTCTTTATTAGACTCCACCATTGGCTCACTTTTTCGCGAAAAACTTTTCGAATCGTCATGAATATTTTATTCGCGTCGCAATTTCAACTTGGATATATTTTTATTTTTAATAATAGAAAAAAAACTAGACACGAGCTGAAATGAATGTTCTTCTCTTAAGTGAATTAGAATAATGATTGAAATTTCTTTGTTTGAATATTAGACTACGAATCGAACATAACCTATAAAATTTTCATGTCTCTCTGTTTGAGGTTAGGAAAATAGTGCGTACGATTTTAATCTTATTTCAGTTTTATTAGATTGTAATGATCTAGCAGTTTTAGTAGAATTTTCAGTAAAATTTTATTTCATGTTTTAATGATAATTTATAATTAATATTTGTTTTATGTATATTATATTTAAATCTCGATCTATGTAGTTTTATAATAGTTTTAATTTATTATGTTTAATTTTTTACAAAATTAAAATTAAATATAAATGATTATATAAATATTATAAGACAGATTGATTATAATTGAGCATCTGTAATAGGATTCTAATAGTCTGACTAGTGAAAAAAGTTGTTTACAATCAGACACAGTGAAACGAATAGAATAAACCAGACACAGTAGACCAATAGAAAAGATTGATCGTTTATGTTTAAAGATATGATAGCTATTATGTTCTAAGAATATAATAATGCAATAATCTATTTTCTTCTTGGACAAATTAATCACCTTTGTTTTTTAATTATCCTCTTTGTTTTATATCATGAAAAAACATGGAAAAATAATTTCTTTATTCCATTAAAACGGAAACCATGAAGCCGAGATGGTTATGTCCCGTTTATGTCGGATATTTGGCTCCAATCGGACAATGCTAGTGTGCGGTTTTATCTTTTAATGAAACGAAAAGTCGTAGAGCAAAACGACGACTGACAGACGTGGCCAACGAATTAAAAATGCAGACTCGTGGTCGCAATCGGTGCGCCAATCGGGAAGTTTCCGTTAATTCTTGGGGATTAATTTGTTTCATCGTGACAGATATCAAAAGGAATTCAAGAAAACAAAATATTTAATTTTTTTTAAATGAATGGTAAATAAACAAAGATAAGAAATAAGATAAAATTTTAATTACGATATATGTGTGTATTTCTTTTGCATAATTTAGTTACTTGAATTTAGTTGAAAAGGATAATTATTTTATAAATTTGTTACAAAAATTGATCGATTTAAAACTCCATTTTGACATTATTGAGTTTGACATTATGAAAGTTTTGAAATATTAACTTTATCTTTGTAATTTTATAGTTGAAATAAAATTTCTAGTTGAATCATTATAAGATTGGAATACATATATATGTAATTATAACTAATTCCAGAAAGATTGGAAGTAAAATTAAACTTCATTGATTTACTTAACAAACTTCTTTAATTTAAGAAACTCATTTACTTGAATTCGAAGTTTTGCCATCCAAAAATCTACATTTTATCTTTAAGAGTCGGAGACACTAAGATATTAATTATTCGAATAAAACTTTTATCATTTAACTTCATTGATCCTTTCTAAGAATCATGTCCTTTTGTAGTTCGACATTTTGTTCTTACTGGTTATCAATTATCCAATTACAATCACAATTATAGTAATCGATCGAAAATTGAAAAGAAAAGAACTAATCTTACAGTCTGTTATTAAAATTTTTAATACGATTTAATGATTAACAAAAGAAAAGTTTTTTATAGGATGATTTACATTTTCTAAGCAACAAAAGTATCATTATAAATAATGTTAACAAAAATATGGGATGGAAATATTCGTATTATACGAGAATTGTTTAAGTTTAAATCGTATTTTCAGAGATTGTGTTATAAGAAGAGTATATATAAATTATATACAATCGAAGAAATGTGATTGAGGACATGCAGATATTCAACGTCGCTTATCTACCGATGATTTGATTGTTTACAAATTGATAAGAAAGAAATTTTTTTTTGATTAAGCTTTTGATTATGAAACACAAGTAGACTCTTAGATCTTTGTATTGTTATAAAGATGTAATATCTTATTCCCCTTAAATCATTTATTTATTTACAATTACCGATTTAACCTTTCAATAATATTTAATATAACAGAGACAATCTAAGAGATACAGTTATCAGCGAGAAAAAATTCTCTCATGTTCCACTTCATCAAACACTTTCAAACATTTAGGAAACAATAGAAGCCAAAAGAAATGTCTTATTTCATCTAATATAAACTTGAACTTAACCTACAATTTAATAAATAACCCTCAACTTCTAGAATCCTCAAACGTTCAACAAACCATCACCATCATATTTAAAAAAGGAAAAAGAGACACGCCAAATTGAACAAACCAACGCTTCCACCTCTCCCTCTCTCTGTAGGCCATTAGACTAGCTAAATAAATCGCGAGAGGTAAAGTGGATCACGGTGGAATGGAACCTCGCTTACCTTCCTCAGGCATCCGTTGAAGTTGTTGATCCCCTTGGCGCCCTGGAGGGATCTCGCGTCGGCGCCTCCGCCCACCAGCAGTCGATCGCTCGCCAAATGTGTGAACGAGCCCGCAGTGTGGCCGTGCTCCGCGTAAATCCCATCGACGATGGCGGACAGCTGCAACAAGCAACGGAGCCAAAGTTCGTCAGGAGTTTCTGGAAAGTTGCGCTGTGTGTCGAAAGCTTAAAAGGCTTCCTCTCTCACTCTCTCTCTCTCTCTCTCTCTCTCTCTCTCTCTCTCTCTCTCTCTTTCTC